TTGCGTTGAAGTGAAAAAACAAACCGTTTTTAACGGATCGACTTTTTCGAAGTGGTTCATACAGAAGCTTTGTGTTGGTGGGTTCTCCGTTTGGGGACAGAGCAGTGTGTCCTTCTGTGCTGCTGCAAGCCCATCGCCCCTATGATGAGAGTCCTGGGGACGTGTCATGAACCAAGGTGCGTCTCTACAAGGAGCTGACCCCTGGGATCGCCTGTCGTCCCGCTAGAGCAGGCACCAGGGGGTCTGGGAGGCCTGGCTGTGAGGTGTGGGATGGTCAGGTGAGCTGGGGGGCCACGCCTGCCCACGAGCTTCCCCAAAGCACGGAACAGGAGGGGCCACGAGGGGCTCTGCAGCCTCCCAGGGGCTCTGGGGTACACGTGGACGTCTGTCTGGGGAGTTGGAGAACGACAGGATATGATTTTATGTCTCACCTGCGATTTTTTCTTTAGACCCAAACTCTTAAAGCTTGGGCATGCCTGTGGTGAGAACTGAGTGCAGAAAGTGAATTACTCCGAGTGGCAGTGTTTGGTGCTGTTTGGTCTTTAACGGTCCTGTGGTCTTACCAAGCGTGTGGTATGTGTGCCGCCTGGCTGCCAGGGTGGCCCCCAGAGGCAAGGAGCTCCACGGGCCTGAGATGGCCACCCATCCATAGGAGGTGTGCTTTGTTTTTAGCAAATGGCGTTCAGTGTCTCGCAGAGGTGAGAGTGGGACAATGTAATTAAGCGACACTGAAGTGAAGTTAATTCCTTCTGCATGTGTCAGAAGGCCCTTGAGGGTCTCCTTGGTCCTCCGCTGCAGCCCTGTGAGGCTGTCGCCTAGACACCGGCCCAGGACCACCCCTGAGGGTGTCAGGGTCCTGTGGGCGCTGCTTTAACCAGTGGTGAGTGGTCTGGGCTTTAGTTTCTGAAGACAGCTGAGGGACTGAAAGTTCATGACTCAATAATGTGAAAACTCCCCACAGCTAACTTTATCCTAACGCCATTCCGCCCCGATATTAGCCCCAATGGTTCATCTCGAGGCCTGTGGTACAGCCTGTTATAGGAGCAATAGGCCACTGACGAGGAGGCACGTGGAGAGCAGTGGGTCAGAAGGACAGAGGGCCCGAGCACCGTCCAGCCGTCTCGCGCCAGCTCAGGGGCCGGCCCTCAGGTCAGTCCCTGGTGAGAGACCGCCCACAGACACTGCTTCTGTCCATCCTGCTGAGGATGGGGCTCCGAGGAGCCGGGACCGAGGTGGGCAGAGGGCTGCTGTCTAGGACCTCCGTCCGTAACAGTCGTTCAGCTCTGACATCGTCGGGTCCATTTATAGTGACCAGAAGCTTCCACACCTTCAGCCACACCTGGACCCGCTCTGGCTCCTACAGCAGAGCTGCACGTGGGCAATGCCGCTCCTTCGTGTGTAGACCCGTGCTGTCCAGTGCTGTGGCCCACGCTGCGTGGGCCGCCGGGTGCTCCCGTGGGGCTGGCCGGGGCCGAGGGAGCTGTGCGCGTAAATACGGGTGACGCTCTGGCCGCCCTGGCTGCCCTGACGCCCTGGCCAGTAGAGCATCCTGTTCGCGGCTCTGTTAGTCACATGGTGAAGTGACTGTGCTGTGGATGTGTGTCTGGGTAGGTAAAACATGCTATGAAAACTGACTTTGCCTGTGTTTTTATTCTCCCACCGTGACTTCTGGGAACCTCTGCATCACACGTGTGGCTTGCGTGGGCGCGTGCCTGCTGTTTCCGTGGGAAGCACAGACCTAGGCTGTGCTTCAGGGCCTCTGCATTTGCGGTCCCCCTCCCGTCGAGGCCCGGCCTGTGGGTGGGGGCACTGATGGGTGTGGCACCTTTGAAGCTGCCTGAAGTGCTGCCGTGTTTGCGTTTCTGCCGACGGTTTACAAACAGACTGCTGGGCCTTGTCGAAGGAATGGGATCCCTGCTCAGGTCGCATTTCTCCCGCAGGAGCCCGGAGCTCTGCTGTGTGGGCACGCTGCCCCCCGACAGGCCGGCCAGGCTCCCCATTGTCCAGGCTCCGTGTTGTCTAGACTTCCGTCTCCTTGTTTTCTGTGGATATAAAAGAACATGCAGCTCGTCTGCAGCGTGGTTTTCCTCTCACAACCGTCCTGCACGTGTTGGTTGGCGAGCGGAGCCCGCGCGTCTGCCGTGGCTTTGGTGAACTGCCGCGTGTTCCGGTGGGAGGGGGCCACCGTTTAACCCTCTCCCTCTCCTGGACGTCCTGCTGATGCGCTGCTGGATGGGGCTGCTGTTTTAGCAGCTGCTGGGCACATGGCTGGAGTCCTGAGGGAGACCCACAGGCCTGCCCACATCTGGCCGGGCTATTTATATCTGACAAAGGCCCGTTTTTCTCTGGAAGGAGTGGGCACATGGCGATGCTGTCACGCTCATGGGTGAAGCCAGTGAAACGAGCCTTTCATTAGAGGACTTGGTGGTGTGTCCAACACGTTTCTGTGCACGTGCACAGGCCTGGGGGTTTCACATCTGCCCCGAGGCTGCTGTGCGAGCACACACGGGAGCGCTGGCGGAGCTGTGGCCCCAAGGTGGCCTTGGTCCCAGCGTTGGCATGGCACGGCCCAGGTCGGCAAGCCACGGCTCTCCCACAACCCCTGGGGGAGGGCAGGTCCCTCCGGGGCCCGTCTCTCCACAGTGTACTGAACTCCTGAGATGGGCCCAGCGCATTCTAGGCACCAGGGCCTCCCCTTGGAAGAGCGTTCTGGTGCTGGGAAAGATGGACCGCAAACGGAATCAGTAAGCCAGATGTGAGGGGGTGAGATGGTGATGGGTGCAGAGGAGAGAATCAAGTGGAAAGGGGCCTGGGGAGGCCTCACTGAGAAGGGTGGTTGGTTGAAAAGACAGGAGCTGTGTCTTGGTTTGGGGAGGAGAGTTCTGGGCAGAGGGAACAGCAGGTGCAAAGGCCCTGAGGCAGGAGTGTGCCTCAGGTGTTGGTGGGGGGCAGCTGAGAGCAGATAAGGTAGACGGTGAGCTTATTTGTGCTCGGGGACACTGAGATGGGAGCCCTGAGAGCTGAGGGTTTGGACAGGACCACAGGCTTCCAGGGAGAACGGACCATGGAGGGCGGGACAGGGGACCCCATTAGGAAACTGTGAGGTGATCTGGAGAGAGAGGTGGTAGCTTGGTTCAGAGTGCAGCAGTGAGGGTGGGAGGATGGCCTGATTGGTGTTTATTTGGAGGTGGGGCCAAGGGGACTTGCTCCCTGGCTGGATCTGGAGTGCGGTGGGAGCCGAGGATGCTCCAAGATTTTGGTTGAGCATCTGGAAGGATGGAGGGTCCTACTTAGGGGCCAGCTCCCCCCAGGCCATCCAGGAGGCATCCCAACCTTGGGAGGCGGGGAGCGTGGTTTTGGGGACACGTGAAGTTTGAAGGGGAAGAGGCCCTGGAAGCCTACGCCTGGCGTCGAGGAGGGTCTGAGGACCGTATCAAGGGGTGGGTCCCGGCCGGAGCCAGGGCACCAAGTTCTCCCAGGGAATGAGCCTCCTCACCAGGGAACATCCCTCGTTCATGCGTCCATCGATGAGGCTGGCTTGTGCGGGCCATGAGGATGGGCTGTGGGGGCGAGATGGCCCTTGACAGTGGGATACCTGGCTGAGTGGCTGCTTGGGAAAGGAGAGGTTGTGGGCAGCGTGTGGGCACACGAGTCTTGGGGTGCACCCCAGCTGAGCCCTGTGGGGTGCTCTGAGCCCCTGGGCACTAAGGCGTTTGGAGGTGGGGTTGGGAGTGTAGATGAGGCAGAGCCCACCCACCCAGCCACAACTGGACTTTAAGCCTCAGCACAGCATGGTTTGGGGAGCGAGGGAGGGGGGTGTAGGAAGGAGGCGCCTCGCTCCTCCTGTGCAAGCCTCGTATGGACCTTCTTCACGCCTTCATGGGCTCCTTTTGCTGTCTTGTTGGAAAGGCATGGCTGCCCAGGGGCATGGATGGCCCACGCCTGAGTCAAAGGGGGCACTCATTTTTGCAGGAAACTCCGTGGGCAGCAGAGCTCGCCCGCTGTCCTCTCCAGAACCCGAGGGAGGCCCGGTTGTGTTCATCACAGAGACGAGATTGTGCATCTCATCTTCTTGGCCACGTTGGGGGTGTTGATTGCCGACCAGCCAGTGTTCCATCATGAACTTGGACCAGGCCGCTCGGAGCCACTGATTCAGGCTCCAGGGTTGGTTCTTTGATCCCTTGTAAAAGGCTGAAGAGTGGTCCCCAAAGAAGTCAGGTTCTAACCCCTGGGACCTCTGAGTGTTACCTTATCTAGAAATGGGGTCTTTGCAGATGTGGTTCAGTTAAGGATCTTGAGATGGGGAGGTAACCTGGGTTATCTGATGGGCCCTCAATGCATCACAAGTGTCCTTATGAGAAGGAGGCAGGGGAGATTTGAAAGACAAGCGGAGAAGGCGATATGAAGATGGAAGCAGAGATTAGAGTGATGTGGGCCTGATGCTAATTTTGTGTGTCAGCTTGACTGGGCTAAGGGTGCCAAGATATTTGGTCAAACATGATTCTGGGTGTGTCTGTGAGAGTGTTTCTCGGTGAGATTAGCATTTGAATCTGCAGACTGAGTAAGCAGCTGGCCCTCCCCCATGTGGGTGGGCCTCATCCACTCAGTTGAGGGCCTGAAAGGAAGAGAGAATTCGTTCTCTCTGCCTGGCTGTCTTTGAGCTGGGACATGGGTCTTCTCCTGCATCCAGATTTAGACCTGGACGGGAACTTGCACCATCAGGTCTCCTGGGTCTCCATCCTGCCGACTGCAGAGCTCGGGGCTTCTCAGCCTCCATGATCACGTGATCTGATTCATTGTATTAAATCTCTTTCTCTCTATACACATCCTATTGATTCTGGTTCTCTGGGGACTCTGACTAATACAGTGGCCACAAACCGAGGGATGCCAGCAGCCACCAGGAGCTGGAAGAGGCAAAGAAGTTCTCCCCAGAGTCTCTGGAGCAGCATGGCCCTGCTGACACCGCAATTTCAGCCCAGGGAAGCTGACTTCAGACTCTTGGCCTCCGGAACTGTGAGAGAGTAGGTTTCTGTTGTTATAAGCCTCCCAGGTTGTGGTCATTTGTTAGCTGCTGCAGGAAAAGAATACAGCCAGTATAAACAGCGCTGCCGTTCACAGCCAGCCGCGCGCATGGGGCTGTGACGGGATGCACGGATTTCAGGGAGCCGGCCACGGGGCCAGGGTGTGTCTCTCTCTGTTTTATAGATTTTGCCAGATCAGTGTCCAGAAAAGTCTAACAGTTTGTCTTTCCCCGTAAGGATGAGCGTGTACCCCGGTCCGAGTATGCTCTCAGCAGAGGGCATGAGGAGTCTTTCCAACCTGGTGGGCCTGGGAGGGGCAGAGTGGCAAGGTTGCTACAGGACGCGGGTCTCCCCGGATCCTGGTGAGTGTGGGATCTTTGCACACAGACCCCTCGCGGTTTGCATCCTTCCGTCTGTGAACTACCCCTTTATGCTCATCGCCCATGTTTCTCTGGGATGTTTCTCCCTCCTTTGCCCATTTGCAGGGCCTGTTTATTTGGTCCAGACATCGAGATTCTCTCCTGTTCTCCTTGAAAACGTTCATTCCCAGTTCTTCTGCCTGCTGATTCCTTCTATTAACGTGTCGTTTGGCATCAAGATGAAATCAGGGTACAGTCGACTGTCTCTCTGGTGACTTCTGGCCGTGGGCGTTTGTCAGGAAGATCACACGGCGGTGTCTCGATTGCCTGGCAGGGTGTTATTGTTTGTGTTGTTGAGCTCAGCTCCTCAGCGTGTCCAGAGCGCTGTGCATAACGTGGAGTAAGAAGTGTGAGGGAGGGGCGTCCGGTCTGACTTCCTCCCCGTGCGCCAGCACTAACTCTTCCATTAGTGATCTGCCCTTTGGCCAGCGGGCTAGCCTTCACGTCTGTGGTGTGTTATGGTCTCGTGTAAACCGGTTCTGTCTGGGGACTCTCCGTTGCATCCCACTGGCTTGTTTTTGCGCACGGGGAGAGCAGCAGGAGCTCTCCTGTACACGCCCTCATGACTGCGTGCGCGTGGTCACTTGTTTCTCGTGGCCCCCGGGCAGAGGAGGCCTGGGGTGGATGCGCATGGCTGTGCTGCCGGGGCAGCGGGCGGTGGAGGTGCGAGGGAGGGCCGGGTGAGAAAGGACACAGGAACCATTGAGCTGTGTAAAAGTGGCCCTCCGTGCATGCAGAGTTCCAAAACATTATTCAGCAGGTGACCTCACAGTGTCCAAGGCACCAGACAGACCAAGTCTGCCTGCCGAGGGGGTGAAAAGATAACACGTCTACCGGCCCTGCCGTTGTGTCAGGAGCGTGCCACGGCATGGTCTCCTCCGGGCGTGGGCACTCACTCTGCACGTGTGGTGTTGTGTGTGTGCATGCAGGGTGCACGTGCCCTTGGCATGTGTGCGTGCTGCTGTATCAGGTGCCCCTGTATCAGGTGCCCCGTGTCTGACCTTTGCTGCCTTCAGGAGCTCACACCTGGGCACTGACCCAGGTCCTCTAGGCAGCAGTACCCCAAACACCCTCTGTGTCCCCCAAACACCCTCTGTGTCCCCCAAACGCCTTCTGTGTCCCCCAGACACCCTCTGTGTCCCCCAGATGCCCTCTGTGCCCCAGCTCCCGCTGTGCTGCCCTAGCTGGCCGGCTGCACCCATGCTGAGGCCGTGAGGTCAGGGTCTGCGCTTTCCCTCTGGTGGCCCTGGCCCCACCCACACTGCAGGTGGAGGTGTGCCTGAGCTTCCCGCACGCACACCTGACCCCACAGAGGACTGACAGCTAACAGATACACCTGAGGAAGTGGCCTCAGTGGAGGTGGGGTGGGGTGGGTGTCGGTGCTGCAGGCAGGCCGTCCAGTCACTCTCGGCCCCAGCAGGTCCTCCTTGGCAGCTGCTGTGGCCCAGCCTGCTCCGCAGGTGGCATCATGGGCGGGTGGTGTCCAGAGGCACTTGGCAGGGCGGGCTCATTTGTCTCCCAGACACCTATGTGACTGGAGGCTCTGCAGGAACAGCCAGACCAGACTGTAGCCCGTCTGCCCCGAGGTCATTGGAAGGTGAGCTGGGAGCCTCCCTGTGGGAGGAGGACGGGGAGCAGCTGGCGCTGGGTGAGAGGTGCCACCTGGCTGTGGGAAGTGTTCCCGGGGCTCTGGGGTTATGCAGACCCGGGAATGGCCGTGTGTGGTGGGCAGTCCTTGGGGTTTGCAAGCAGTACCTGGCACCCCTGGGTTGGGCGTTTGCCTGGGGCACATGAACCAGGTCCCAGTGCTGACCCCGTCTGTGCCCGGTGGTCTGGTCTGTTCCCTCACTGGGAGGGTGGAGGAGGGCGGGCCCTCCCGGGGCTGTCTTGAGCAGATCCCCTGCAGGGCTGCACAGGTCATGACTCCGCACATGCACTTTGACAGGAGAGCTCACGGTGGCAGGGGTCCTGATTCTTGACCGGCTGTCAGGTCCCTGTGGAAGTGAAACTCATTCATGTTTCCTGATTTTACCATGGACTCTGTGTTTCTGGCTGGCAGAGGACAGTAGCTCTGGGCAGGCAGGCAGTCTGTTCTGATGTCTCAGATTGTGAGCGCCTCACTCCTCTGAGATCCACGGGTGCCCGGCTCCCTCGTCATTCTCCTGTGCTGCCGAGACCCAGCAAGGAGCGCTGGGTACCCCCACCCCCCGCTGTGTCCCACAGAGCCCATCCCGTTGCTCTGACACTGACCGTGACCCAGGCCACGTGGGGAAAGTGAACCGAGTCGAGGGCCAGAGGCTGCGGCCGGCAGGGGAGGGAAGGACACGCGGCATGCTCCTGGCGCCCTGGCCGGGGAGGGCCCGCCAGCCTCGCCTGTGACGGTCTGCACGTCTGTAACCTGCACACTTCAGGCGTGTGCAAATAGAGCCGAGTGTCCAGGGGGGAAGAGAGACATGTTTAAACACAGCCGCAGACGGGCGCCCCAGGAGGCTCTGTCAGTCCCCCACATCCACCTCCTCCTGCCCTCCTGGGCGGTGGCCCCCCAGCGAGGCACAGGCTTTGTCCTCGAGGTGGAGCCTGGTGTTGCGCTGCTGAGCAGAGGCCGCAGTGTAACAGGGTTTCAGTGCAGGCCCGGGTGGGAAAGCTGGAGGCAGAAGGCTTGGGTCTGGTGTAGGGGCTGACACGGAGAGAGGGACCCAGTATCCATGCGGGCACGAAGCAGCTGCAACCGTGTGGGCCAAGGGGCCCTGGCATTGGGGACCCTGCAGCCCCCCGGAGGAGACGCCGGGGCTGAGAGGGTTGGTGCCTCTTCCTCCTCCTCTCCCTGGGCTCTCCACACGCCCGTCTCATGGCCGAGGCAGCCTGACACAGCTTGGCCCCGGGCGCTGTGGCCAGAGCTCAGGGTCACCCCTCTGATTTCAGCACTCTGTCCGTGTTGCTCTTCTGGCCGTGCCCCTAACGTGCTGGGCTCTCTGCCTGGGAAACTCATGTTTCCTCTGACTGGACGATTGCGTGTCCACCACGCAGACCTCTGAGGGCCCCCACGATGGCCCGTCCACCACACAGACCCCTGAGAGCCCCACGATGGCCCGTCTCCCACGCAGACCCCTGAGAGCCCCCACAATGACCCATCTACCACCCAGACCCCTGAGAGCCCCACGATGGCCCGTCCACCATGCAGACCCCTGTGAGCCCCCACAATGACCCATCTACCACCTAGACCCCTGAGAGCCCCATGATGGCCCGTCCACCATGCAGACCCCTGTGAGCCCCCACAATGACCCATCTACCACCTAGACCCGAGAGCCCCACGATGGCCCGTCTCCCACGCAGACCCCTGAGAGCCCCACGATGGCCCGTC